TTAACAAACGGAGACGTAACAATATTAATTCTTGCTTACGTGTAATAATTTCGAGATAATAACAACTTGTAAAAAAGGCGCCAAAACATAACCGCATCAAAGGGAAACTTCCAGATTTTAAAAACTAGTAATACAGGAAACAGTATACGTAGCATAGCTACGAACATCAAAATAAAAGTTCAATTATCATAGCATATAATCATCGAACTTCACGACAACGTTTAATAAAAAAATGTTATCTCATAAAGACAATATTGAAATGATAGTAGAAAGTTATCGTTCTGTTTAATACATTTGATAAGTATTTCTCAGAACTTCTAAGAAAAAAGTTTTAGAAGTGACTTCTGTTTAAAAAATTCAAAAAACTTCGTTGAAGAAGCTGAAACGTTTTAGTGTAGGATTTCTTCTCAGATGAATGATGATTTTTCAATTGAGTCGTCTAGTTTACACAACTTTGTGGATTACATATCCAGATAGTAATTACGCTGGCCCAATGTTTGACGACTCATCTGTTTCACCAAGTTCATGTTCTTGTTTGTTTTTCTATCGTTGCTGCTCTTCTTAACGACTTTTGAGCCGTGGGGGCATTATAATGTTACGGTCAATCCAACTATTCGCTAGTAAAAGAGTAGCCAAAGACTTGTCGGTGGGTGGTTTTGACTAGCTGCCTTCCCTCTAGTCTATCATTTCAAAATTAGGGACAGCTGGACCACATATCTCCCAACTAGCTTTGCGTGAAATTTAAGAACAAACAAATCTATCCGTTAAGCAATACTTTTTTGGTTTATTCCATTTTGAGTTACAATATATATTTTCATCCAAACCTTCCAAGTTATCCTTTTTGATTTGCAACACGTTTCAAAACTAACTTTATTATTATCTTTTTAGTTTTACTTAGCAACCTTAATGTACGTCATATAAAATATATTTTTGTTACTTAGCAGTATGGGATTAAAAGAAAACGGAGATTCAGTTTTTTTTTTGTAATTAAGCACAAAGCTATACAATGGACTATCTGTGCTCTGCCCACAACGGGTATAGAAACCCGGATTCTAGCGTTATAAGCCCGCAGACATACCGCTGTGCCACTGGGGGCGGAGAGTATGGAATAATTAATTGGGCTATTTTTAGAACTGCCAGGAACGCCCCTTTACGGGCGGCAGTTTGAGCTAGTAATTACTAATCGTGACAATAACTCCTCATTGAAAAAAAAATTTATAAAAAGTGAACATTTTCTGAAAATGAATTTTTCTGGAAAGTACTGCACGGGAAAAAGTGTTCAGATTGTGCTCTTTAGTCATACGCATCTCGTTGCATCAAAATGATTCAATGTACAGAACTCAAAATGTTCATAAATTTTACTGATATAAACTGTAATGTTTTTATATATTAAAAGTGGTACCGCTTATTGACAAAAATACATTTTTTAAGAACTCCAGTTTCTCAGTACTACATTTAAAAATTACATCAATAAATATATAATCAAACTCTCACGTACAGTCCTAGTGAAAGTCGTGTTCTTCTTGCGAGGAGAGTACTTTTATTTTAAAATTGTAAAGTAATTTTTGTTGAACATATAATAGTTATTTTTCTATTTGTCTGAATCTTGTATATCCAAAGTGTGAATTTTATAGATATTTAGTTGTGGTGCCATTCAATAGATGGCGGAGGAGTTTTGGTTACATACGTCCATTACAGTAAGACCAGAGATGATGTGGAAACTTCCCACCCAAATTAATGATAACCAACGAGTGAACTGAATTAAAATATAGTTCATTGGGTGTGCGTACGATCGACGTGCATCACAAAACACTTGAAATCTAACTCTGATAACCGATAGAAACCTTAAACTATTTTCTAAAACTTGGCAAATTACATCTAAGTAAATATGAGGAATAATTCTGCGCTGGTTATCAGAAAATGATACACATTACTTCTCTAATGGGTATATTTTGCGTTAATTGTTGTTGTTTCATGGAGTAAAGCCACCATGGTTATCAGAAAATGATACACATTACTTCTCTAATGGGTATATTTTACGTTTATTGTTGTTGATTCATTGAGTAAAGCCACCATGGTTATCAGAAAATGATACACATTACTTCTCTAATGGGTATATTTTACGTTTATTGTTGTTTCATGGAGTAAAGCCACCATGGTTATCAGAAAATGATACACATTACTTCTCTAATAGGTATATTTTACGTTTATTGTTGTTGTTTCATGGAGTAAAGCCACCATGGTTATCAGAAAATGATACACGTTACTTCTCTAATAGGTATATTTTACGTTTATTGTTGTTGTTTCATGGAGTAAAGCCACCATGGTTATCAGAAAATGATACACATTACTTCTCTAATGGGTATATTTTACTTTCTTTGTTGTTGTTTTATGGAGTAAAGCCACCATGAGCTTTCTACTGCGTCCACCGCAGGAAATCGAACTCCGGATTGTAGCGTTGTAAGTCCGTAGACTTACAGCCGATCCATTCATTTATCGAGCTCTGTGGAGTGTTAAGAGCAAAGCTACACAATGCTCTGTGCTCATCGCGGGTTCTGAGCACCAATTTTTAGTGTTTTAAGTCCTTAAGCTTATCGCTGGGTTACTAGAATGCACTTCTTAGAAGAAACACACAACAGATTAATCAGAGTTTTGATACGTTATCCTAAAATAATTGTTTCGTGGTTTACATGTAAATAACCATTTTGTTTTTATTTTTAAATTTTTTAACCGTTTGATAAAGGATAAAATCTCATTTTCTTCTCTCAACGAAGCGATATCAGTTACCTATATGGGTCTTCAAAAATCATATCGTTTAAACAGCATGTCAGATAATATGCGTGAAGAAAGTTGAATACTGATTCTACAGAATCATACTTATAACTCATCTAATGGGAAAAATAAATGATATATACATCTAGAACAATTTCGTGACATTTTAAGAAACTCGAATAATCCTGTTTTGACTTATCACAATCATTGAATTTGTTCACGCAAACAATGCTGAAAAAAGGCCTGTTGTAGAACGGACTACCTACGTTATAACAACCGCAAGGATCGAGCCTCGATTTTCAGCGTTATAAGTCTTTAAGCCTACAGCTGAACCACCTTTTTCTCGTCCCAGTCATTTTTCTTTTGGGCAGAAAAAAAGTAAATTAGAAGTCTCTAACATGCTTAGCAATGCATACAGCACTAACAGCCATTGGCCAAAGGTTGTGTGTTAAAACAAACAAACATGTTAAAATACACATACACACGTATACATGTACAATTCGACATGAAACGTTTCACCGCATGATTAATCTTATCATAGTCACATTCAGGTTACTAAAATATTTTTTTTATATTATCGCTCTTTGTTTTAAGTAATCAAAAAGATAGTGCGCTCCTATAACTGTATAGTATATTCTGCGTAGTAAAAGGTTTTTCAATTTTTAAAAATACACAACAAAAAAAAAGTCGAAATAACACCGACTTGGCAAAACTTCTTGGGATATTAGTTACAGTACTTTATTTAATTTTACGCACTAAATATTGGTTTAGATAATATTCATGCAACAATCGCTATAATGAGAACGCCTTTTACGAGCTTTCTCTGTTGTAAACTTTGTTTCAGCAACCCAATACAGATACATATATATAATCAAATTACGTGACCCTAACAAAATGCACGACATCATAAGTGAGACAGGAAGCTCCAATAGTCATACTTTGCTTAATGGAGGCATTACAGCTATCTGATTAGTAAAGGGTGGGCCAAACGAATAGCCTCAAAACCACTGATTTTTGAAACTTTTAAATTCATTGAGTATTTAGAAAGGATTAGATATTGATAAAACTCAAGTCTATAATTGGATCAAAGTAAAGAATAAAGTGGGAATGAGCAGACGATGGCCACAGCCAGTTTGAGGTTTTTTAAATTAGGAAGTGAGAATAGGAACACCAAAAAGTGTTATTTAAAAAAAATACATTTGTAATTAATTAGAAGAATGTTTCGCCAGCTTGTAAAAGGCGTTCACACTAACAGTTGTTGGTGTAATAAATACTTTATACAAATTGTGTATCAACCACTACTTTGTTGTGTCACAACCGCCTGGGCTGAAGGACTAGAAAAAGAATGTAACGTTAAAACAATAATAGGCCAAACATAATGTTTTATGACAAGTATTAATTAATTACCAAATTCATTCACATTTCAAACCAAGCTATATTATTGTCGGACTGTTTTGTTCGATTTTTGTTGTTGTTTGACATCAAGAGCAAAGCTGCACAAAGGGCTATCCGTGCTCTGCTCACCACGGGTATCGAAACCAGTTTTTAGCAGTACAAGTCCGTAAAGAGGCTTTATTACTGGATATTGAATTTTACTGCGTAGTTAATATTACTTTATGAGAAAAGATAATTGTTATAAAATCTGAAAAAAAAGGGGAGGGTAAGAGAAATTCGTTTATCTTGAAATGTTTACGGCCTTAAGAAAATTTGAAAGTATTCAGTCTTGAACAATAATTTTTAGTGAACATTTTAAAAGTTTTGAAGACGGGAAAAATAAACTGATTTAATTTTATTAGTCATTAAATGATAAACTAATTATTTAATGACTGATAAAACTAATATTTCTGACAACAAACACACAAAACGTTGAAAGTTTGTTAAACAGTTTAATTACAAATGTATTTTAATGATATCTATGCAATTTAGTGTAATAATTATAAGACTTTATAGATTGAATAAAAAGGACAGAAATATATATGTATATATACACACGCACACACAAAGTTCAGTCTTAACTCATTACACTTGTCAGAAACTTTTTTTAAATCAGTTTTTACGTTTATACAACACAACTTCATTAGTAGTTTCATGTGGTTTTATTTCATGTGGTTTTTATTTTATTAAAATTAAAATAAATGTTATTTATTTTCTTTCAAAGACTTCTTGGTAACTGGCGAGAAGAACTTGACTTAGAAATTTTTAGAAAAAAAAATAGTGCCACGTTTATATTTGATATACATTGAAAGACTAAATACACGTTGTTAAAAAACACAAAAAAATACGAACCTTTTTAAATTATGATAAATTCCTTAGGCCCATAGGTAAAATTAATTCATTCCGCTTGTACAACATTTTAATTAAATCGAAAGAAAATTATAAACTGTTTCAAAAGTTTGTTGTCGTGACGCAGTTGGTACCTTTGGACTCAAAGCTTCTTGGCAATTCCGACAGTAGCGTTACAGCTTGGACAGGAATGACGAGTGTCCTTACAAGTGTCGATTATAAGTGGTATGAAGAAACAAGGACAACTATGTGAAGAATAACAAGAAAACAGAACTTTAATTTTACAGCATTTACTTTGAAAACACGATTAACAAACTTCATGTGATTTTTATCCAAATAAGCCATTGAAATGTTTCGTTTGGTATACAGTTATTGATCTTTAAACGAACCGAAAGGAGGGGGCCAATAATATTGTTTAACGTAATTAAACAATTTGAGGTTAAAGTTTGTTTGTTTTAATCATTTTCCGAACTTCTGTCGATATCTGTACAATGTTTGGATCATTGGTTCATCATTGTGCTGTAATTTTCAATTTGGGAGGGCCTGCTGTTTGACTTCAAACAGGTCGCAGCACATATAAAGATGCTCTTTAAGCTGACTATCAGAGAAATGTTCTTACAGCAAACCAAAAGGGATTATTGTAAGGAAAATAAAATATTAACGGAAGCCTAAATGAAAATAAGTTATAGAATTTTGAATAGAACAAACAGTGTTTTCCAAGGTCTGATCAGGAACAGCAAGTTTTTAATTTATAATAATTCCTCCTCCCATCCCAGTGTGTATGTTTTCGAGCAAAGCCACACTAGACTACCTGTTGTGTACACCGCAGGGAATCGAATCCCGGACTTTGGCGGTGTAAGTCCATAGCCTTACTGCTGTGCCACCAGGGGACACCCCGATGTGTAACTGGAAAGTAAAGTATTTATCATAATAACAGTGTTAACTAGTTATAGCAAACTACAAGAAAGACGTATTATGCATTAATTACTGTTCACATAAAAACAATGTGTGCAAGAACCTTTTACATTGATAACATATTTCCTTTTTAATAGGCCCGCAATAGCCAGATGGTTAGGGCACTCGACTCGCAATTTGAGGGTCGCGGGTTCGAATCCCCCCGTCCCACCAAACCTTTCAGCTGTGGGGGCGTTATAATGTCAAGGTCAATCCCACTATTCGTTGGTAAAAGAGTAGCCCAAGAGTTGGCGGTGGGTGGTGATGACCAGCTGCCTTTCCTCTAGTCTTACACTGCTAAATTAGGGACGGCTGGCGCAGATAGCTCTCGTGTAGCTTTGCGCAAAATTCGAAAAAAAACAAAGAAAAAAAAACAATCCTTTTTACTAGCGACTATTACAAGATGTTGAAAAAGCTGGCTAGAAAAGAATTGGGAACAGAAATTTGACTGCATCATTGTTTGTCAACTGTAGTCAAGTTATACCAAGGACTTTCTTGATACAAGTACGATATTCGTGCAATAATAGCTATAAACGTTTAAGGACCGTCTTGTGATGTTAAGATACAAACATCTAGGTGTGATATTTATCACTACTAATTCGTTAAAAATTAAGTTATACGTTTATATACTTAACGGAACGATTAGTAGTGAAACTAAGTTTAAGTTATACGTTTATATACTTAACGGAACGATTAGCGGTGAAACTAAGTTTAAGTTATACGTTTATATACTTAACGGAACGATTAGCAGTGAAACTAAGTTTAAGTTATACGTTTATATACTTAACGGAACGATTAGCGGTGAAACTAAGTATTACATGATATTATTCTCACGAAACTAACTTTTTCAAACAATATGCCGCCCCCCCCCCCTTGGTAGCTCAGCATTAAACCGAGGGCTTACAACGATAAAAATCGGGTTCCGATACTTACGATTTTCACAGCATAAATGACCCATTCTGTAGCTTTGCGTTTAACAGCAAATGAACAAGTCAGAAAACATAAAAGTAGATCTTATGACAAAATCACGTGACTCCATAGGAATCTATGAACTTTTGTACCTAAACGGTACCATCTCGAGTGTCACTAGTGTTAACACAGGGGGTGTTACCTGTAAGGTAAAGCAGATTCAGTATGCCAAATGTGTCACTACTGTTAACACAGGGGGTGTTACCTGTAAGGTAAAGCAGATTCAGTATGCCAAATGTGTCACTACTGTTAACACAGGGGGTGTTACCT